TTGCCCTTAATTAAACGTAAAATTAATAATAAAACACTAAAATCAAAAACTACGACATAGGGGATGCTTTTGATGGCTCAGAAAACTGTTCGTCATAATATGACGGTCATATTAAAGCAACTCAATTTTATAATGAAAAGTAAATTGACGTTTGCGAGAGTAATTGTACTTAAAATGCTGTTTTAAGTTTTGTAAGGTTTAAAATGTTCTATAAACTTGCTATCAGTTTTAATATAGATCGCGCCATATTTTATATAAACTCCATAATGGACATTTTCAAAAAATATGCGCTTTACATCCTCTTAAATGATTGAAGATCGGTGTGTCCAAACATGCAATTTAATAAAGAAAAGCATTTAGATGGTAATTCATCTTAAGATGAAAAATAAAATTTGACAATATTTTTTTAGATAAATTTTAAGTAATTTAAAAAAACAAAAAAATAATGGCGCTTTAGTTATGTAAAAGTATTTTATTAAAATTTATCAAAAAAATGCCACCCGTTGTTAAATTTTTTACCAGAATAGTTTGCATTTGAATATTTTTTTGTAATCTGCTTTATATATGGCGCTATGTTTTAAATATTACCACACTGCCATTAACTATTTCACAGAAAAGTTATCCCACTTTAGTAAACAAAATAAAACCCTTTTAGGATTAATTATATTGATTCTTAAGGTAATTAAGTCTGCTGCAAGTATATTTTAAATGCAAATAAGTTTTAATACAAAAATTTAAAGTTGCCTTAAAGAACTTTTTAAGAATATGAAATAAAAACTAAATGGTTTTAATATAGTTCTAAAATTTAGTTTAGCATGGAACATGTTTGGCTAGAAGCTGCTTCCTAATATACAAATCAGATTTGTTTACATGAGTAACTCATGTTTTATAGTTTGTTAATTTTATTTTGTAAAATTTTAACATAATTTTTTGTAGAAAACCAGGGTTTGTAGGTAATTATTTTAACAAAGGAAAATATTTTACCGAAAGTTTTGTAAAGGTAATATGCAATTTTGTAAGCATTTTGTTAATTTCAAATGTTACAGATTATTTTGTTAATGTTTAACAAATTTTTCGTTGAAAAAGTACACGTGATTTCAGGCAGTTAATCAAAACATTTCCCACTGACAACACGCATAAACAAGTTCAACTGACTTCAGCGTCTGCAACTTATGTTTCTGCTTACCTTATTCTATTCATAACGTGTTCGTATGAACTGCCCAGAGTGTTATTAATATAATAACAGAAATTTGTTATTATTGTTATTTGGATTCCTTATATACCTATTTAACGAGTGTGCGAAGTATCCAAAAAAGATGCCTCACTGGTATTCAAACTGAAATTAGGGGATACAGTGAAGTGAGTTAAAGTTACGAAATACATCAGCAAGTTTTGTATTAGTATTGATAATTAAATTGTACCAAATTTCTTTATAATTTGATGATTGATTTTTAGAATGGTGTGTTATTTAATTTTGTGTATGTTATGTTTGTGTTTATTTAGGTATTTGTTATTTTTTTTTGTTTAGGAAATTGATTGATTGATGAAGCAACATTTTTTGACAAAATTCTTTTCATTTAAGTTCCCAGTTTCCAACAAGTACCGGTTCTACAAAAAGGTTGAATTATTGACATACACAGAGAAAAGTAATCTCTTGATTTAAGAAAATGCATTTATTTGAAACAGTTTTTCTTGTATGAAGTAAAATTGTCTTATTCGTAGTAACTTCTTGTTTACAATAAGAAAATACTATTATTTGGTTGTAAATCATGAGTTTCTTGAAAACAACTTATTATTGTGATTAATTGTAAAGAAATATTTATTTAGAGCAATTAATTAAATTGTTTGGATATAGGTTGTATGGATTTAGTTTTATCAAATGTTAATACAAGCATATAATATCTTATTTTAACAAAATAATAGAATTGATACAATGTATGTTATATAATTAACGTAAACACGTGATTTGTTTGTTTCAAAAATACATTTACTTGAAACAAATACATATTTATTTGCTTTTATGTCCACGTGACTCGCGGAGCCAATTAGAGCATTTGACTCCAAAGACAAAGACGCTTGTCCGGCAGCCGGCAGCATTTGCGTGAAGACTCTTAACTTAAGAGAAGGAGGTGTTTAATCAACGGTTATAGTTTTGTGTTTCAGTGCTTATGTTTAATAGTATGGAAGAATTCTTTAAAGAAAATAATTTAACCCATTTGCTTTTTAGTTTTGTTGGTAAGTAAAAGTGATTTAGTTAATTAAAATTTTGTGTACCTACACTGTTTAAAATATCTACGGTGTGAAGAGTAATCCTAAAATGGTGTCAAAATCCAACACCAAGTGGTGTTAATATAACACCATGAATTAGGGTTGAAAATGAACACCAAAACGGTGTTTATCTAAAAATATTTGAGAAGTGCACCTACCCAGAAAAAAAGGAATAGTTCATTTAACCCAGTTGACCTATAAATATTTATATTTTTGTGGATCACGTGATGTTCTTAAATCTCGCCTCTGTTGACTTACATGAAGAATATATAAACTTAGGTAATCCTTTGCTTTGGTGTGACACTACAAGTTGTTCGATACTAAAGAGACCTTAAATAGGTGGAAACAGCTGTCAATACTTGAAGTAGTTAGTGGAACGCACTAAAAACATTATCTCTAGCGAGTTGAAGGTTTCATTTTCTGGAATAATACCACTGGTAATATACTAGTAATGCGTCAAGGAATTTCCTGTTTCCTGTGTACACTTGTTTTGTTCAAATAAAAAATATTGGAATAAACGTTTTTTAATTTAATTTTCCCGACCAAATATCAAGTAATTAACAACATTAAAATAAATAAATCATAGTATTAAAACAAGCAAACATTTGTTTGGTTCAATCACTATATATTTCGTGAAATTATAATATTAAAAGGTACTAATTATTTGTCTGAAATAAATTGTTTTCTTCATGTAAGTAAATATTTTGTTTCTTTAAGAAAGCTTCACATTTAATTTAAAAAAATGAATTACTCACTTCAAGTAAATATTTTGTTTCTTTAAGTAAGATTCTACTAAACCTGAGATAAAAAGTCAACTAAATATTTACTTGTATTAAACAAACCATCAGTTTAAAAAGTCAAATAAACCCAAGTTTTCCACCAAATAAATATCTTCTTGTATCATATCGAAATAAATAATTTATTTGAGTCAAGACAGATATAGTAAAATCAAGAGATTACTTTTCTCTGTGTACACAGTTTAAAATATATGTGGTGTAAAAAGTAATCTTAAAATGGTGTCAAAATCCAACACCAAGTGGTGTTAATATAACACCATGAATTATGGTTGAAAATGTGTACCGATCGCGGCAAAGGCGGTGTGGATCACGTGATGTTTTTAAATCTCGCCTCTGTTGACTTACATGAAGAATATATAAACTCAGGTGGTCCTTTGCTTTGGTGTGACACTACAAGTTGTTTAATACTAAAGAGACCTTAAATAGGTGGAAACAGCTGTCAATACTTGAAGTATTTTTAGTTAGTGAAACGCAGTAAAAACATTATCTGTAGCGAGTTGAAGGTTCCATTTTCTGGAATAATTCCACTGTTAATATACTAGTAATGCGGTAAGGAACTTCCTGTTTCCTTTTTTTCCTTTTTTCTGTGTAGTATGATTTAATTTGACCACAAACACATAATATTTAATAATGAAAAGGAGTTCAATTTACACCAGGTAAAATTTATTTTAATACTGTGTGAAAGTTAAATTAACACCATTTTAGTATTTGAATTTACACCGGCCAACGAACCATATTTAACACCATTTTGGTTTGTATCGATATAGACCACGTATGGTGTTAATTTGGTGTTAAAATGGTCATGAAATTTTGAACAGTGTAGGATTTTGTTATTAAATCTACAAAATGTTTGTTATAATTACAAACTAAATAAGAAGATCAGTAAAAAACGTACGCTGCTTTTAAGAGGCATCATTGGGTTTATTTTAAAATACTTAATAGATTTGGATTTCGATTATATTTAATAGATTTGCATTTCGTTTACAAAAACTAAATAAATGATTCTAAAAAACCTAAAACAAATTGATTGTCCACGTCGCATTGATTAATCTAAAGAAAATGATCTTACTATACAAAATTTTGTTACTAAAGGAACCATCTAAATTCTTCATTATTATTGAAGGAAAATGCAAAAATTAAGAATTTCTAAAATTATCACTTTAGAATTGGCCATGTTGTCCGGTTTTCCAAGAATTTCGTGAAAAGTGTAAGATATAACACTGTATGCGATATAACACTGTATATAAGATATAACACTGTATGAGATATAACACTTACGAACGAGAAATAAGTATAATTAAAAAATACAACCAAGGACGAAGAACAGATGCAGTATATTCTTCGCCTAGTCGCAAATCACCTGAAACAGTTTCCTCAGCCATCAAGCGCATATGTCGTAGTTTTTGATTTTAGTATTTCATATTATTAATTAAACGTTTAATTATGGGCGACCTCTAAAAATAAATCAATTTTTATTTAACAGGAAATGTAAATCAATCCATTTGTAATTATTTAAAAACCTTTAAAATAAATTCAAGATAATTTACCATACAATAAGTTAGAATGAATAGGAGTCATCACAAGAGAAAGTAATAATTTTCTAAATTGCCATAATATTTTTCTTCTTCTTTAGGTTGGTGGCCTTTACAATTTTATATTTACCTTAGCTTCTCAGAAGAAGTTAATATTTACGTGTTAATTTTGCAACATTGCGTAATATCCAAGACAAATTAAAGAAAAAAAGGTCTTAAGAATCTAGAAAACATGTTCATAGATTGTAAGTAGTTTGTTACTTGTTTTTAACTACGACCACATTGCGCTACTTGAAACCGGAATAAATCCTCTACAAGACATATACAGTACTTCTAAGAATCAATTAATTAATAAAACAAAAAACTAAGAAAATAACCCAAAATCAATGCTTTCACCACATACCTCCAATTAAAATCCAGGCGAAAGAAAGCAGAACACTGTGTTTGCCGTGCATGTTGTAGCAATTTAAAAAACAACACTCGAAAAACAAACAACTAAACCACTAGAAAACCACAAAACCACAGGGCTTGACACCACAACACCAGAAGAGGTTCGTTGTTTGATACGCTATCGGGGTCTCCGGTTTTTAACACTCTTTGACGCACTTAAACCGGATGACAGTTCACTTCTGACATACCCAGGATGTTTTTCGAGCGGCAAAACAACTATTTAACCATTTTCCGACATTTTGACAAGTAATTAGGGCCATACTCGGCGCGTACGGCCTCTGCAGCAAGACGCACCAGGTTTACTGATCGCGCAGGAGGCCGACAATCGCAGCAGGTCTCTCCTTTAGAAAGTACTACTGCCTACCATTCGACATTGAAATCTAACGGGACTTTAGTAGCGGCAAATTTAAAAGTTGTGCTTTGCCGGTTTCATTCATTGAAATGATCTCGCACTTTGCATATATGCTATATATTACTATAGTAAAAAGAACAGGGTGTTCATAATTAAACGTTTTCCACTACATACAGGGTGTTTCACATTCGTGGTTCATTACAAGTTTCTGGGGAACGAAAAAATAAATCGATTTGAAATTTTAAAATCGTTTATAATTAATTTAAGTCTATTTTTCTAAAATATTTTTAACAAAATGCAACTTCTGGTTTAACAGGAAGTTACATCAACTTTGTTATTTCAAATAGAACACCCCATATATTTTTACATTTTTAAATTCTACATAAAATCCTAGTAAAATTACTATACCTACCTAAAGTGAACAGGGCCGTACCGAGGCTCACTTTTTTGGGGGGGTGGAGACGATAAAAAAAACAATTTATTTTTTTATCAATACTTTAGTAGTAATAGTAAAAATTTTCAGTAGTTTTATCATGTATGTAAAGTGCTGTAAAGGGTAGATAAACCTACCATTAGCAATGCTAATTTAGCATGTCCTTTCGAAGTCGATGGGATTGATTCTCGTTCTCTATTTTTTTTGACTTGCTGCCAATGTAAATTGATTATCCGGAACAGCAACAATTTTAATTTTAACCAAATTTCCACCGTGAATATTTTTCTCATGCATTTTTTTCTAGTCCTTGTTAAACACAGATCTACATTAATGAGCATTTTACTAGAACTCGGCCCGGTCTAGCTTTCTTTTCATATTAAAAAAAATAATTCCTATTTATTGACACTAGTTTTACTTAGCTTAGATAAGCTTTAACTAAATAATAATCTAGAAAAATAAGACGCCAAAAATTGCGGTGCGTAAAAAGAGTCAAACGCCGCCAAAGCCAAAGACAAAGCCGCGAGGCGGTGCCGACTTTGCACATGCCGCTTGTATGAAATATATTGTCCTTTAATAAAAATATGGTTGACCAATACAATTTTCTTCACGGTAACAATTATAGGAGGTTACAATAGATTAAAAATTATAATTTTGTAATATAGTTTAAAAATTATATTTCATTTTGATGATGGGTTGGTTGGTAGGGTAGGTATACCCAACCAACCGAACCAAATACTATAGATTTTGCCAACCGTGTTTGGATTTGGAACCAACTGCTAAGACTTTGGGGAAGTGACTCCCCCCCTACACCCCCCTTAGGCCGGGCCCTGAAAGTAAATAGTTTTCGAGTTATTAATTTTTTTCGTTAAAATTTGAAAAATGCGCGTCAATTAAAAATAGCCTATAACTTCTTTATTATTAGGTTTGCGAATATGGGGGTGGAATTTTTGGAATCTTAGAACATTGTTAAAAAGATTTCTTGCTAATTCTTTAACATTTTTATAATAAGTACCGGAGAAAACCCAGGGCGAATTAGTTAAATACTTTTTTATTTTAATTGTAACACCCTGTTTTTTTTTATATAATCAAATAAGAAATTAAAAAACATTTCGTAGTCCAGGAAACAAAGATTGTAGAAGGAAAACTAGATGGTAGTCAGGTTTTATTTCTTTTTTATGTAGAGTCAGGAGTGCTGATAATGAATCCAGAATATTCCCCAAAAATTTCTTTTTTTCAGAATTTGACCTCCAATACTTTTGATTAGGTACCTACTAAATAAGGCACACCTTAAACTCCATTGCGCACCTATATGATGTGCCCTTTTGCTATGCGCAGTGTGCAAAGTTGAGCGTTGCTTTCAAAATCACTTTTTTGTTTCTTTTATTATATATATAGCACAATTTTAAAAGTAATCGATCCCAAACCTTACGGTAATCAAACATAACCGAATGTACGATTTTTTGAGGTTACTGCTTTTCAATGTACAGCGGGTTCTTTTTTCTAAAAACCCATTTTTTATTTCCCAAACGGCTTTAATGAGCCAGTTCGTTTTACCCTAGATTTTTCCGTAGTTTTTTTTAATAATTTTCATTGCAAGTGCCTCACAAAAATTAAAGTTTTGAAAAAAGAACCCCCTGTAAAAAAAGCAGTAACTTTTGAAAAAAGTCTAGTACCTCAAAAAATCGTCCATTCGGTTATAACCACCATTTAAATGGTCCCAAATTTTCAAAATAAAAATAAATTTATAAACAAGAATAACGATTTCTAAAGACGTTTTAAAATTAAACTGTTAAATTTGTTAATATTGGATACAAAAAATAAACCTTTTTAATATTAGCTAGCAGCAATGGCGTTGTTTTTTATTTTAAGAACAACCTTTTTATATGTGCGATTTAAGGCCGCGGACAACAATCGGGATTTCCTGGTGAAGTCATGATGATATCACAACGTGATTTTTTTACCACGCTGTGATATCCTGAGTGCGTACACATGCCTCATCACAGTGATATCATGTAGAACTCACGGTGTGATATTTGCAAAATTTGCGCATGCGTATGAGCCCTGCGCACTGCAAATTTAAAACCTAGTTTGTTATTCACATTACACCGTTATAATTTATAAAACGTTGTTTGAATATCACGAATGTTGTCCGGGTTCAATTAAAAAAGATATTCCAATGTTTAACAATTAATTTTTTTATTCAAAAACAGTACTAGTAGTCTTTTTGAATAAAAAAAATAATTTTTAAGGAATTAAACAGTCAACCACGATACCTAATTTTGCCAAATAAAAACCTTGTTAAACAGCTTTTGTTTAGAAGTATTAAATACAAATACAAATTTTGTATTTGTTATTTTGTAAATAAAAACTTGCAACTGTCCCATCCGTTACGCGTGGAATGGCCGTATACTTTTTCTCTCAATGTACGAATGTGGCGCAAAATAAATATCCAAACACGGATGGCATAAAAAATCACGACATGATTTTTTATGCTATCGGTGTTTGGGCATAAAAAATCACGACATGAATTTTTATGCCATCGGTGCACCGACATGTTTGGATATTTATTTTTGCGCCACATTCGTACATTGTGAGAAAATGTATGTTAACAATTGAATTAACAGTTTTTGCGGTTAAATATATTTAATATTTTCTTAGATGTAATTTAAATCCAAAAAAATATTGAATGTATTTAACCACAAAAACTGTTGATTCAATATATATGTATATACTTTTTCTCTCAATGTACGAATGTGGCGCAAAAATAAATATCCAAACACCGATGGCATAAAAAATCACGACATGATTTTTTATGCTATCGGTGTTTGGGCATCACGACATGAGATTGAATATGATGATGAATAAAATTTGTTAAAATCACAACGTGATGTTCGTATGAATATCACGAATGTTGTCCGTGGCTCTAGCTTCAGGCTAGTAGCCTGATGATCATAAACAAGGAAATTTTTTTTATATTTGCCGATTCAAAGTATAACTTTTTCAAATATTAATTTTTCTTTTGATGCCTAGATAAATAATACGCATTACACAGGATTCGTTGATAAAAAAACCTTTTTGTTTTTAAACATTTTTGTTAGTAGTGTATAAAATTAAACCCCTGTCACGTAGGCAAACCACTATACATGTTTTCTAAATTGTTTCCAATTTAAACCGCTAGATGTCTAGATCATAACCTCAATTTTCTAAACATAACCACATTTTCCAAAGTTATTTACTCTCATAAAAACAACACGTGTTTATGTATTTTATTGTTATAATTGTATAACAATCCATAAACGCAATGAAGTTTGCATATAAAGTAATTTAATTTCATCGTCTTATATTTATTATTTAATTTATGCTGTTAATTTTAGTTTAGCAACTTGTTGGGAACAGTGTACAGAAAAGGTGATTTAATATTTACCCCTGATGGAAACTCTGTCATAAGTACCGTGGGTAATAGAATTACTATATTTGATTTAAAAAAGTAAGTATTTACATATAAGTATTTATAAATTATTAATAACATTTTCTAGTCACAAATCGAACACATTACCTGTTGAAAGTCGATTTAATTACAATGCATTGGATTTAAGTCCCAACGGTTGCACATTAATAGCAATAAATGAAGAAGGTGAAGCTCATATGATAAGCTTAATATCACAAACTATCATCCACAAATATCGTTTTAAAAGAAAAGTAAGGGTGGTAAAATTTAGTCCTGATGGTAAACATTTTGCTGTGTGCAAGGAAAGTAATGGTAAAAATTTGAACCATTATATTGACTGAATATAATAATGATTTTGTTTTTAGTTTTTGTGTTTAAAGCACCTGGTCCATTTTCTGGGGATTACAATTCTTTCATAATGGAGCGAGTTTTTCATGGTGCATACGATGAAACTACATGTTTGGATTGGTCCTTTGATTCCAAAATTCTTGCTGTTGGTTCAAAAGACATGGCTACAAAACTATATCCTCTGGAAAAGTATGTTATGTTGGGTTTTTAAATTTTGTTGAAAAAAGTATCAATCATGTCTTTTAAAATATCACCAAAATTTATCTTAAGTAAATATGTTTATCATAAGAAATAATGAGTAGGCCGTAGCAACGTTGTAAGTAACATTTTGTTAAAGGCGATTTTTACAATAATGAGCTCTAGGCTTTTATATTTTGTATTATATGTTTTTTTTTTTAGAAATCAATATTCTTATAGCAAATCTAGTAAATCTTCCAACTATGACATTTTATTATCACCTTAATGAGTTCCTATCGTTTTTTGCGATTTATTTAGTTTACTTCTTTTGTTATATACAACGTTGTTATGGCCTACCCATAAAATGTTGGCCTTTAAATTTTATTTAAAAGTATTTTTATACCTACCATATTTATAAACACATTTTTTTTATTATTTTACATCACCAGCTGAGAGTGTTTTAAGTGGTTTAAAACAAGTTCTTTAACAGTGTAAAAAGAAAACATATACCTACCATGTTTTTATGGTTTAAATTAAAATCCCAGTGCTTTTGTTTTAAATCAAATAATCTTTTATATCCATTTTAGCAGTGCTATAGCACATAGCGCTATGTTAATTTTAATTTTGGATAGTAAAAAATAAAAAGCACTTTCCTACTTATTTAACAAATAAACAGGGAAGTGCTTTTACTTTTTCACCATTCAAATTTTTAAAAAATCTTTTAAATAAGAACAAAAACCACATAATTAATTTTCAGAGAAACAAATAATTCAAATAGCTCATTCTCTAGATACTCAAAGAGTATTTATTTACAAAAAAATGTATTAGAAGAAAAGAAACCATATTTTGAAGACTTTGTTTTAATAACTATAAGCTTTTAACAAATTATAGTCTTTATTTTTGAGGCAGTTTTCTTGTTAAAAAAAATTGTTTTTTTTTAAATACACTGCCCGTCAAAATTAACTCATAATAAGTAAAAAAAAATCTAAAACGCCTTTACCAATCTTTATGAAATGTTGTATAAAAATACTTCAACTTAAATCTCAGTTTACGTGTTCGAGGGTTTTTCAAAAAAATATTTTTAAAGCCCTTTAATTAAATAATAAAAAAAAACGTTCTAAAAATAACTTTTAGAGATTTTTTTTTAAGTTGAAGTAGTTTTATACAACGTTTCATAAAGGCGTTTTAGAGTTAGAATTTTTTTTACTTATTATGAGTTAATTAAAAAGAATTTTATAGATAAATCTTATTTTACAATAAAGAAATATTTTAATAATAATGATGATCTTCATCCATACGTTTTATAATATATGTTTATTTATTTATTGTTTACATGTATTGTACATGTATTATACTATAATATATTATATACAAGGTGTCCCTAAACTTAGTGGCATAAATTTAGGAGCAGATTAAGCAAGTAAAAATAAGACGAAAATCTAAATAAATATTTTTCCTAATTAGGTATGTTAAAAAGATACAGGGTGATAAAGTGTTACTTATATTAGTTTTTTAATATAACTTCCACTATGGTAGACTTGGAAAGGTGTTATTTTTCCAACAGTCACTTACTACCAAAACACATATTCACACATAATTACAATTGTTCGAGTGAACGCAGTGTCGTAGAAACAGGGGTTGCTTAAGCTTATTGTCCCATTAAACTTTGAGGTTAGGTTTTTATAACATTTGATGCAATTTTTCGATTACACAGTTCGGATACCATTAAAAAGGTGTACCTCTCAAACTTCGATGAAATAAAACAATAAGCTTAAAGCAACCCCCGTTTCTACGACACTGTGTTCACTCAAACAATTTTAATTATGTGTGAATATGTGTTTTGGTAGTAAGTGACTGTTCGCAAAATATCACGTTTCCAAGACTACCATAGTAGAAGTTATATTAAAAAAACTGATATGATAGGTAACACTTTATCACCTTGTATCTTGGAAAAATAAGTAATTAGGAAAAGTATTTATTTAGGTTTTCGTCTTATTTTAACTTGCTCAATCTTTTCCTAAATGTATGCCAATAAGTTTAGGGACACCTTGTATATTATATTTTAGTTATTTTAATTATTGAATTCGATATTTTTATTTCAGTGAGTTTATTAAATATAATTATATATTACAACAGCAATATTTCATTTAATTCTGAAAAACAATGTTTGGAAGCATCTTTTTAACTCGAGGACTTGTCACGAGGATAAAAGTGGCCTATCATAATTTATGATTCATATAGTGTCGGATGGCGAATCTCGTCATTTAAATTTAAAAATGTTTCGTTATTCTTATCTTCATTGTTGGTAGGGACGTGTTTTACATCATTTAATATATTTCTGGAAGTTATAAAGATTATTATTATAAATAAAAATGGCTCTTAACTTAAAAGAGTAATGATTTTAGGTGGGCAAACTTTAGAATCTGTTCCTTGGGTAGCCACACAGACAGAATTGTTAGTTGCTTTTTTGAAGAAGGGACTTATGACATTACCACAATATCAAGAAATGGTCAAACTTGTTTATGGGAGTGTAGCATTAATCCCAAGGATTTAGTACCATTGGATAAAATCCCACCAAAAAAGAAGCAAGTATGTTTATCATGCTTTTAATTTGTCTAATCAATACAAATAATGTTAATGAATTTTAGAAAACTGATGATGATGAGGGTGAGGATGATATTGATACAACAAAATCATTGGAAAGGACTGAGGAAGAAGTAACAAATGCATTAAAGGAGCTTGAAGTTAGTGATGAATCTAATAATGAAACCAATAAATTGTTCTATAAAAGATTGGCGAGGCATTATTTGGGTGATGAACCAAGAAAAGATGATAAAAATGCTGTTTTAACTTCTGCTGCTTATCATAGGAAAAGTAAAATTTTAGTTACAGGTAGGTACAAGTTTCTAATCTAATACTATTTTTCTATGATATAATAAAAAAGTTAATTCACAATTTAAGCGTATTACTATTCTTTTAGGTTTTTCAAGTGGTGCATTCTTTATTCATGAACTTCCTGATATGAACTTGATCCACTCTCTCAGCATATCAGAGCAAAAAATATCATCAATATCAATAAATGCAACAGGTGATTGGATCGCCCTCGGATGCAGCGGTTTAGGACAACTTTTAGTATGGGAATGGCAAAGTAAATTTTCCAAAATTCCACCAAATTGCCAAATTACAATTATTATTCTTATAGGTGAAACTTATGTGATGAAACAACAGGGCCACTCCAACAACATGTCCAGCGTTGCCTATTCACCTGATGGTCAACTTTTGGCCACGGGCGGAATGGATGGCAAAGTTAAACTGTGGAATGTTTACTCCGGGTTTTGTTTTGTCACGTTTAACGAGCACACAAATGCCGTTAGCGCGATAACCTTCAGCCAAAGTAGAAAATTTGTAGTGTCCGCCTCTTTGGATGGTACCATAAGGGCTTATGATGTAATAAGGTAAAGATTTTTGTTTTTTTTTTTAATCAAATTGTTGATAATGGCACTAAAAGATTAAATGTCCACGCACATTTACTATTTTAAACTGGATAACGCTTATTGAAAAGGAACCAAGCGCCAAAAACTTGATGTGCTTAGTAAAATTATTTGTATAATAACTCGAAAGGTTTACCTTCATTTGGAACTTTTTTCAAAAGAATTGAGAGGGTTCCCAAATCATTACTAATTATTATATTTTGCAAATAATTTTGTTTACTCCAGAAAAAGTTTTTGGCGCTTGATTAGAGATGCGACTTGAAAAAAAACGGAGCCTTTTTTTGTTTTTTTTTTTCAGGTTTTTTATCATTGTTTTTTTTCAAATGGTTTTTTCATATTTTAGGTTTTTTTTTTAAGATTAGTCCCATTTGCCTAATTTTTTATGTTTCCAGTCCAGTTCATGGACTAAAATTAGCCACTAAATGACATTTAGTAAATGTAAATACAGTCTCGCGCTATGCACGCGCAACCACCACCGAATTTGGTCCTAAAAAAAAGTAACTACCTATAATATTTTTGATTCAGCGCTTGATTTTTCAAAAAGCTACCAAAATCACTTTTTTCATGATTTTTGAAGTTCGTGTAGAGTATGGAATTAAAAAAAAAACAATAGTTGAACATTTATTCATTGGTGGTTAAGTCAGAACATTCCGAGGACCAAAAAAGAAAGCCAAAAAATTTTTTTTTTTATTAAGGTATCCCTAGTAGCAATTTTGTCAAAGACTTGGGCCAGAATGGGTCAAGATACTTTGTACAGATTTTTTATCAAGAATCGGACAAGAATGGTTCCAGATTCTTGGCCAAGATTATTGGGCAAGACTTGGGCCAGAATGGGTCAAGATACTTTGTACAGATTTTTTATCAAGAATGGGACAAGAATTGTTCCAGATTCTTGGCCAAGATTATTGGGCAAGACTTGATCCAGACTGTGGCCAGAATTTTGACAAGAATTTGACCAGAAATCTATAGAGTAGAGGTTCTCATTCTGCAGTAGCATCAGAGCCGTTCCGAGGCACACTTTTTGGAGGGGGGCGGAGACGATAAAAAACCAACTTATTTTTTTATACAGTATGTCCATGGATAGAGGGCCCAAGAGGACAAATGGACTAAAATTTTCATTTTTCGACCAAAAGTCATTCTTTATAAAAAGTTCTGCTTGTTTTAACAAGTCTATTGCCATACTTTAAATTTAAAAATATTATACAGGGGGGTCAAAAAACAAGAAAACATGAAATACTCTCAGGAGTAAACTACCTTTATTTTTCGTTTTGGAGCAAAATGACAAATAAAAAAAAGATTTCAAATTGTATCCAAAGACCATTTGTAAAATTTTAACTTGGTATTCGAAAAAATAAAATTTGGAATAATATTCCAAATTTTATTTTTTAAAATTTAATTTCATATTTACAAAAATGACACAACAATAATCAAGTAACGTCAAATTGACAATTTGCATTCTATCATTGTTCATTTTGGTAATTAATGTAAATTTACACAAAATGTCCGGGTTAAGAACCCTATACAAAGGTAAAGGATACGTGAAATAAGGTACAAAAGTATAAATTAGAAATTAAATTTTAAAACTTTATAAGAAAAAGAAAATTTGGAATACTGAGTTGAAATTTTACAATTAGTCTTTGGATAGTTTATCCTAATAATATTATTTGTCATTTTGCTCCAAAACGAAAAATAAAGGTAGTTTATTCCTGAGAGTATTTCATGTTTTCTTGTTTTTCGACCCCCCGTATAAAATTTTCAAAAAGTATAGTAATAGACTTTTAAAAACAAGCAGAACTTTTTATGAAGAATGACTTTTGGTCCATTTGTCCTCTTGGGCCCTCTAGTATAAAAAGTATACGCTATAAATATAAAAAATGGAACCTACTAGGTAGGTAAATCAAAAAAAATCAAAATAAAATCCAAATTTAAGCTACTAGGTTAAACCTAGTTTCGAATAGTTAAAAGTACCTAATTTCTTTAATCGTTTGTTTAATATTATAAACAATATTTATAGACAAATAAAATTATTTTTTATAAAAGTGACTGATAGTGATTGGTTATGACATCCGCTTGACAAGCTTGACAAGCGACAGATCGGAGTTCAAACCCCGGCTGGGTCACAACTTTTTAAATTTAAATCTACTAATTTGACTAGTTCATTCAGTTTTTTCGCAATGACAATTATTCATATATGACTTATAATTATTTATTTTAGACTAATTCATTTTAAGAGACTATACTAGTCGAGAAGTGAGTTTTCTGTAGGAAATGAATCGAGTTTTTCCTTTTGTCTAAAAATACGAACAAGAGCTTATTGGATTCGTCTTCTAACAAAGAAAAAAAATTGATTTTTTCAAAAATAAAAATTGTTATTTTTAAAAATTAAAAAAAAAAGTGTGTGTCAGCTCTGACGCGTAAATAGAGTTTACTCTTTATGAACATGAACGATTATAAAATACATATTTTTTGTACTTGTGGACGTACATTAAACGTCCGTCGACATACATCAGACGTCCTACGGATTTCCATTTAAGGTTACTTTGTCACAGTTTTGGACGTCCATTAGATGTTACTAACGGACGTACATTTAATGACATTGTAAGCAATGGACGTACATAACACGTAAACAGCGGGCGTGCTTATTTTACTGCAGCGGGTAAGTTAAATAAAAAGTCTTGAAATTCAATAAATTTTTATAACGATAATGTTAAAACATTTAAATTTAGAGCAGGCTATAAAGCCTCTAATTTAACATTAATAAACGTGTTAAAACCGTATAGGTATACTTGGTATACTGTTTTAATGCGTTTTTTTCAAAACTTACATTGTATTACAGATAGGTACTATTTTCCACCAAATACTGTACAATACATTTTACAGTATTTGGTTTCACGCAAGTCCCACTTTGACATTTGAATACAAAAAACTAAGGTTAGGAATCTGTCAGTTTAACGCTTATTTCGTCTTATTCTCTGAAAATAATACATACAATAAATGTGCATAAAGGTCCTAGTTTAGAACACAAAAAATACATATATAATGGACGTCCATGGGATGTAGTGTGCTGTATGGGAATCCTAGACGTTAAACGTGTTTTTGTCGTTCTTTAACGTCCGATGACCCGACGATGATTTATAGTTATTTTATGCAGATATACCGCCATATTTACTACTGTTCTAACTTTAATTGCCATTAAATATAAAAATATCGAATAAAAAGTTAGGGCTATTTTTGTAACTTTGCCCCCCCAAATGTAACGCCTATGATTCCATTTTAACAGTTTTGATCTAAGATCTAGATTCAGCATGTCAAAATGACCAAAGTACCAAAAATTTATATCTTCCTGTTCAAACCTCTAGGAATAGTTAAAAAATGATCCTCTTAGGCTCCTATTCAGGGAGCCGTAGCTCCGTTAGGGGGCATTTTTTGATACATGTTTATTAAACAAACAAGTGTTATTTTTCTATAAAGAATGCACTTTTTAAGTTTGGCCCCCTAATTTCGGGACAACCTGTATAGGCAAGAATTTTCTAGTAGGCTTTAGGACAAAAGTGACGTTTGGGTTATTTATAATAGTTATATTTTTTATAATTTCATAATAAAAATTTGAAATAGGTATTAACTCTGAAAAAAATTGGGGATGTTTTTGTAACTTTGCCCCTCCCCCCAAATGTTACGCCTATGATGAAATTTTAAAAGTTTTGATCTTAGATCTAGATTCGGCATGTCAAAATTACCAAAGTACCAAAAATTCATTTCTTCATGAACGTTTTAATGAAAATATGAGATAATAATAATGAGAGTAATTTATTTATAAATGAATTTTTCTCGAAAATTGTGCATCTGAACGATCTAAATAAAGAGTACCTATTTTTCGTAAAAAACTATAAATTTTCATAATTGCATAAACAAAAAATAAACCATTAACCTAGAAAAAAGTTAGGGCTATTTTTGTAACTTTCCCCCCCCCCAAATGTAACGCCTATGATTCAATTTTAACAGTTTTGATCTAAGATCTAGATTCAGCATGTCAAAATTACTAAAGTACCAAAAATTTATATCTTCCTGTTCAAACCTCTAGGAATAGTTTAAAAAAAAATGATCCTCTTAGGCTCCTATTCAGGGGGCCGTAGCTCCGTTAGGGGGCATTTTTTGATACATGTTTATTAAACAAACAAGTGTTATTTTTTTATAAAGAATGCACTTTTTAAGTTTGGCCCCCCAATTCCGGGACACCCTGTATAGGCAAGAATTTTGACGTATACGTCAAAATTCTTGGCCAAGAATCTGGTCGAATTCTGGTCACAGACTTGTCGCAAGTCTGGCACCAGTCTGGATAAAGAATTTTGATCAAGAGTCTTGGTCAAGAATTGTCCAATTCTTTACAAAGTGCTTTTCCAAGTATCTTGACAAAGAATCTTGTCCAATTCCATTGCTACTAGGGATTCCTTAGGATTGAGCGTTGCACGTTTTTCATCTAAAAATCTCAAAACTAGAAACTTCAAGTTTTTAAATTGCTTTTTATACGGCTATACAGCTATCCGAAAAATAGCAACAAATTTGGAATTTTTTTTCTATTAGTGTAGAAGTTTTACATTCCCTTGCGGCCTTGAGTTCACGGTTTATTCACCGTGAATTCACTGTGAATTCACCGTGAATACACCGTTTATGTGCAGTGAATATACCGTCCATTTGTGACATTTGTAGACGGTAATTAAACGGTGAACTCACGCTGTTTTCACCGTAAAAGCGCTGTGAGTTTACTGTGAAAACACCGTAAATTGACTGTGAAAACACCGCAAATTGTAAGTGTGTTAAGCGGTTTAAGCAATACGGTGAATTCACCGTAAACTCAAGGCCGCAAGGGTTGCTATTGGTTTCTTATGTGGAAACTACTAAATAATAAGAAATCAGATTTTTTAGTCTCAGTTGAATATACATTTTACTCAAAATTTCATTTTGAA